AGAAGAGTTTTGTGGTTGCTATGGTGACTAATTAGAATGTAAATTGTTTTTTTGAGTGAGTGTGAGATTTGTTTTTTGGAACTGCGATGCTGTAATTTTATTGTTTAGTTAATAAATCTTCCTTTTATATTAAACGTGATAGTAGTTTCCTTAATTATTTGATTCGAAGTCCTTGGAGTTTTATTTGAGGTCAGTTTATTTTGTATTTTTTGACAAGAGAGAGCATTCTCACCAAATGAGATTTCTTCCGAAATTCAATGTTTTGTTTATGCAGGTTCCATTGCAATTCACTTATTTCAATTTTTAATAGGCTTAATTATAGCCAAAATTTTAACATTTTTAAAGAGATATCAGTTTTAGAAATTTTATCTTAAGATTTTATACTATAGCACATTTCTAATAGGTTTAACGAATTACATGTCATTTATTTGAATTCAAATTTATTTTAATGACGTAGTATTTACAAAAAAGATGTAATTTTTTTAAAAAAAAAAGTTGCTATATGGATTTGAATGATTGTTTTGAATTCTTAGAATTTTGTGCATTTGCAATGTACCTAAGTTAGTAACGAGTGAAGGGAGCTTGGTTTGCGAAGCAAACCATATAGGATTGCGTAGCAATTTTTGGGGGTTGGTGAGCGTTAACGAGCAGGGGCACAGCCCACTAGTTCCATTATGTTTCTCTTACGCAACCCAGCTGCTTCGGACAAATTTGAATCCATCGTCGTAACTCTCTCTAACTAAAAGAGTTCGATATCAGGAACTTTGGACCAAATTATTGGGACGGTATTTTTCGAATTCCTGCTAACCTTGATATTTTGGAACCAGAAATCCGAATTCGTCAAAAAAAAAGTATGTTTGTTCAGAGGAAGTACGTTCTTGTGTTTGATTTCGTAACTTAAAATATCGTCTGCCCTCATTAATTAGCATGATTGAGATCATCCCCTCGAACCACTAAGATCGAGTCGTAGAACATAAAGATCCGATCATTAGCTCAAAAACTGTTTAAGATGGTCCATTTTTTTTGCACACTTTACATAATTGTAG